TAAACCAAGGAGGGGCAGCTTGCCCTTGGGAAGAACACTTAGTATGTTTTAAACAGACTAACTGAAGACCTCCTACAGGAGAGGTCCATCCTGTATTATCTTGCTAATCATGAATTCTCTAATGGAAACCTTGTTGTCACATGTAAATTTTTCTATATTTTCTGTTTATTCTGGACAAACTTTGTGTGCACCGTATGGATATATGTTTCTGTATGATAGATTCCACTATACTAATTTAGATGATCACTTTCCAACTGATAGTAGATTTATGTGGGCTATCTCTTGTTTAGATTCCTGATGAATGTGTGGGCAATGCACTCTGAGAACTTTAGAATTATCTTCAAGTATTCATAGCAAATGTTAATTTGTTACACATTGTAAAATGAAAGTCAGAAGAAAACTCATTGGTCCAACATTCAAGGTATGGTTGGTAGCTTTAATTTCTACTTATGGTATATCTGAATTGGAGAAATCTTTAAGAAAATTTGTCAGTCACTATGGGACAACTAGCAGATGAGATGGAAGCATAACAATGAGCTCTGATCTCATAAGCCAAAGTGACATGAGATAACAGAATAACCTTATATATATTTTTTATTAGTCCAAGAAAGTGTAGTCTGTGCTGTAGACAAGATATACATAGAATTGGACAACAAGCTACTTGGTTACATACTGTAACACCCTTTACATACACCAGATTTGTTTGGTTGGTTACCATCAGGAATAAGTACATGGGCTAAATCACTATTGGAAGGAATACTAATATTCTTAGTCTATATCCTGATAATATTAGGCATAATAAAATTTATCTTCTCTTGTCTTACACATCTAAAAGGCAAAAGAAGGCCCAGGGCTAAAATGTTGATGTACATTGAGTCTGCTGAATCCGTCAATGTGATTAATGAGAACATTGCTCTTACTTAATAACCTGGTGAAGAACCAGATGGCATCCAGTGGAAAACCAGCACCGCGAGTTTAAAGAGCCTGCAATGGCCACCATCTAGGAGCTTGACCAAGTCCAGGTATTGATTATGGATGTGTTATCTCCAATCTCTGATCGAAAGGAGGGAATGATTTAGGAAATAATATTAGAATCATTTATTCCCTCTCCTTGAGCATAGAGAATGTGGCCCAGCTGGAGCTGGGCTCACAAGGACACATCAATTCAGCCCTGAGGTATAAAGACAATAGCTAAGTTAATCTTGTAAAATATCTTTTAGGGAAACTTCCAAGTAAAGCCAACCAAACAGAACACAAAAGACTTTCCACTCTTATCTTTTTCTATTAGCATTTAGTGAATGGAAAATTTACTGGACCAATGAAGACCTTCCTGACTGTCATTACTGAAACCTGTACCAATGATTGTTAAGAAAGACAATTCACAATGTAGGATCTCAGTTTCTAGCCAATCTGTGAAAAGGTGAAGCTTTCAATGATTTTGCCCATTTGTAACATTAATATATACTGATGGCTCTGTAATGGTCTTCGGACTTGGGCAGACATGGCTGTGGCAGCATGCTTGTCTGTTTTCCCATTCTTGCCTATTATGTAATATTCTTTGGACTTGGACAGACATGGCTGTGGGAGCATGCTTGTCTGTTTTCCCATTCTTGCCTATTCTGTAATATTCTTCGAACTTGGACAGACATGGCTATAGCAACATGCTTGTCCATTTTCCCACATTTGTCAGTTCTATGATATTTCCTTGGAATCGGGCAGACATGGCTCTGGCAGCATGGTTGTCCATTTGCCACTTTTGCCTTTTTGACTATATGCCGAATAAAACTTTCTTTTTGCTTTACTAACCTTTGTGATGTTTTTCCCCTATGACATGTTTTAGGTGAAAGTTTATAGCTCAAATTGATTTCTCATACAAACATTTGTTCATATATTGTTATGTGACATTAGTTGCCATCCCTATAATGTGACAGCACACTCCCCCTTTCCACTTTGGGTTTCTTGTGTCCATTCGACCGGCTCCTGTCCCTTCCTGCCTTTTCATCCTGCCTCTGGACAGCAGCCGCCCATTTGGTCTCGTGTATCTGCTTGAACTAAGAAGCACACTCTTCACGAGTATTATTTTATGTTTTATAGTCCAGTCAAATCTTTGTCTGAAGAGTGGGCTTCAGGAATGGTTTTAGTTCAGAGTTAGTTCAGAGCGTCCGGGGGCCGTGGCTTTGAGGGTTCCTCCAGTCTCAGTCAGACCGTTAAGTCTGGGCTTTTTAGGTGAATTTGAGTTCTGCTCCCCACTGCTGCTTTTCCACGTAGTTCTTCTACCCTCAGCTGTGACCCTCCGTCCAGATATGACACCATTTTCCACTCTCTGAAGAAACGGAAAACAAAAAGCAACAACTGCTTTTCGCCCTGATTTTACTTCCTGCAGATGCTTTTATTCTGGCTGCTGTCTACCGCACTCACTTTCTAGGATTTGTCACCAATTACTGAGCCCTGGGGAGGGGATGGTTTTGCTGATTCTAAGAAGATCGTATTTCGTTCTCCACTCTGATGGCTTATAATTTTGGGTTGAGCCTTAAACCACTTGCTTAACTGTTATTGACTAGGTTTGGGAGGGAGCGAAAGCAGGAAGTGGATGCTCAATTTGTCATCTTTGGCAGATGGATAAGGAGCCCTGGTGGTACAACAGGTAAGCACTAGGGTGCTAACCTAAAGGTCAGCGGTTCGAACCCACCCAGCGGCTCTGTGGGAGAAAGATCTGGTGATTTGCCCCATGAAGATCACAGTCTAGAAATCCCTATGTCACATGGGGTCGCTATGAGTTGAAATCAACTTGACAGCACCCAATAACAAGAACAGCAGCAGGTGGATGGTTTGAACTGACACATGAATGACGAGAACGTGTTCACTGGCTGCAGATTTGGGGGAGGAACATTCCAGGTGGAGGGCAGAGCAGATGCAAAGGAACAACCTTGGCACATACAATGCAATGGCTTCTCAAACTTGACCAAGCGTCAGAATCTTCTGGAAGGCTCGGTAAAACTCAGATTGGTGGGCCCCTCGCTCCTTGAGTTTTAGTGGGTCTGGATTGGGAGTGCTAGAATTTCCATAGCTGACAAGTTCCTAGGTGATGCTCATGCTGTGGATTCTGGCGTCTCACTGGGAAAACTACTGGTGTAACAGAAGCATCTATCACCTCAGAACGCTCCATCAAAACCAGCTGGTATCATTATTGTTTTCTCTGTAATTTCCCAGGGAAGCCCAAATCATGATCAAACACAGCTGGTATCACAAGGCATATGTTCAGTTGAACCAAAATTCCCCAGCATCCCATGGGCTGTTGACCCTACTGGAGCGGTTGAGAGAGATGGAGTGTCTGGCTCACCCTCCCATTTTTCCTAGGGAAAATGGGGTCCAGGGAAGGGAAGGGAGGCAGCCAGTGTCCACCAAGGTGGTCTCGGCTGAGCAGGGCTTTCCCAGCCGCCCAAATTTCCATCCCGGCAGCTTCCTCTTTTGGGGCCTGGCCTTGGCTAGTCTCTGCTCCTCCTCCCGCCCCCACCAGCGCCGGAGCAAACGGGAAATTCGAGTTTCCTCCGCCTCACTCAAGACTCTCCCCTTCCTATCAGGGGGATTTCTTGGCCTGGACTCTCCAGCCTTCTCCTTGTGGGGTCTCAGGGGCTCCTGATGGGAAGGGTCCAGTTGGGCAGGTGGGGGAAGGCCCAGGGTCCTGGGGAGGATGAGACAGAGTGGCTGAGCGTGGTGCTGGGGGCGGGGCGTGCGCTCCAGGGCAGCAGAGGGCTGAGGGCTGGCTGAGCCCTGACCCTTCTGCAGAAGGGCTGGCCTTGGGGGAGCCCCAGTGATGAGGAGCTGAGGGTAACAAGGAGGAAAAGAGAGACAGATGCACAGAAAGTGAGCGAGAGACAGGGACAGACAGAAGCACAGATATGAGGCAGGGAGACAGAAAGATTCCTTGTGGCGCACTGCAGAGACTAACGGTAGAGACGGAGAAAGACGGGAGACGCGCAGAGATGCTTCATAATACGGCTCAGGAGAGCGCACGTTTATTGAGCATTTACTGTGTGCTTGGCACGGTGCTCACAGCAAGCTCTCGACCACCCATATGAGATCGTCTGTATTTGACAGTTCCTAGGAAGCACTAACCCAGCCAGCCAGCCACCCCCCACCGCCCCCCACCCCCACAGAACCAGGGATGCGGAGGGGGGCGGAGAGGAGATAGTGAGGCGGGAGAGAGAGACAGAGAGGCTGAGAGCAGGAGTCCGGGCGGTGGAGAGACCCAGGGAGGAGAAAGTTAGAGAGCGCAGGTTGGAACCAAGTAAGAGTGAGACGGTCCGGAAGGGGAGGGGCTGGAAGGAGCGGCGCCCTCCCCACCCGCCCGCCCCCGGAGCAGGGCAGAAAGGGAGTCAGGCGACGGGGCGGGCCCGCTGGGGACGTCCCCTCCCCGGAAAGTCCTGGGGATACAGGCGTTATAAATAGCCGCGCGCGGGGCCCCGGCCTCAGCCGCCAGCCGCTGGCCATGCGCGACCTCACCGAAGCCACCCCCGATCTCGAGGCCCAGCTGCCCGCGCCCCGCGTCAGCGCCTGCCGCTGGGTCGACTGGGCGCTGGGCGCCGCACTACTGCTGCTGGCCGCCGCCTGTGCGGCCTGCGTCGCGCGCTCCTGGGCCGTGCCAGCCGCGACCAGCCCTGCGCCCAGCCCGAGCCCCCGCGCCGGCCCGGAATCCCCGCTCGGCGTCCGCGTCCGCCGCCCCGACGGCCGGCAGGTGAGGTTCGCCCCGACCCGGGCTCTGCAGAGCCAGGGAGACTCCGCCGTCCCTCTGGGATTCTTCTCCACCCCGCATCCGGAGGAGACCCCTTTTCCATCCTGGACCCCGGAGAGACCGCGTCTCCATGCTGGACCTTCGAGGGGGCCCCTTCTCCATCCAGGACTCCGGCGGAGACCCATTCTCCGTCCTGGACCCTGAGGAGACTCCTTTTCCGCCCCACAATCCGGGAGACCCCTTCTGCATTCTGGCAGAAAGAGACCCTAGCGTCCTTTTCTGGCCCACGAGGGGACCCCTTCTCCATCCAGGACTCCGGGGAGACTCCTCCTCCATCCTGCACCCCCGGGAGACCCCTTCTGCATCCTAGGCCCCGGGGGGGGGAACCCTTTCTCGGTCCTGACCCCAACCACTGAGGGAACCTCCGCCTTCTTTCCTCCTGGACTTCTGGGAGAGGGGTCCCCCTTTCCATCTGATACCTCCAAACCAAAAACGAAACCCAGGCTGGGACTCGATTCTCACTCATGGCGACCCGATGTTTGTTAAGGGTAGAACTGCTCCATAGGAACAATGGTTAAGAGCTCAGCTGCTACCGAAGGGTTGGCTATTGGGAGAAAGATCTGGCGATCTGCTCCCATAAAGGTTACAGCCTAAGAAATCCTACAGAGCAGTTCTACTCTGTTTACACGGTGTGGCTATGAGTCGACATCGACTCCAGGGCACCACCAACAACAACTTTTACGGAGGCAGATCGCCAGGCCTTTCTTCCACGGCACCCCTGGGTGGGTTCAAACTCCCAACCTTATGGTCAGCAGCGGAGTGGAAGAATTTTTCTTTTCCCTCCCGCATCCTCGCGGTGTTGTCTTTGCAGACAGCAGGGGTTGAGGCAGGTTGAGCCACCAACCTCCGATGTGTGCGTAGGTGTGTGAGATTGTGTCTGTGATTGTGTTCTTCTGGAGCACTGGAGGGGGGAGGGCCCAAGGCCCACGCAGATGGGGGGGGGGGGGGGCAACTCCCATCTTCCGGAGGGTGTGGCCCCAGTGGAGCAACCGCTCACAACCCTCGTTTCTTCTGTCCATAGGATGGCTTCGCCCAGCTGGTGGCCAGCAATGGTGAGTCCTGCGCCACTTCCCAGCACCCCCACCCTGCTCACTATCTCCCCGACCGCCGTCATCTGTACCACCTCAGACCCTGCCCTCTCAGAGCTGGGGCGTGACCCCTCCAGCCCCACCCCTTCCGAGTTCCTGCCCCCTCCGCAGTTTGCTCCAATACCCTTGTCTCCCCCAGAGTTTGCGCTCCCCAACGGCCCTCCCCCTTGGAGTTCCCTCCCTCCCAGCCTTCCCAACTCTCCTCCTCCTCCTCCTCCTTCTCTTCCTCCTCCTCCTCCCTTTCTCCTTCTTAGTTCTCGAAGTCTTCTCTGACCAAACCCGTTGTCTGTGGAATCGATTCTGACTCACAGCGACCCTATAGGACAAAGTAAAACTGCCCTATAGGGTTTCTAAGCAGGGCCTGGTGGATTCGAACTGCCAACCTTCTCTGACACTCCCCCCAGTTAAGAATCCCCTCCCTTCCCTACGCTCCCTCTTGGATTGTCCCTTCCTGACAGTCCTCCGCTGCCCTCCAGTCCATCCTGCCTTGCCCTCTCCAGCCACACCTCCCTAGGGAACCCCCTCCATCCCTCAGAGTCCCCTTACCCCTTTACTGAGCCCCCTTCCCCCAGTTGGTCTTGTCCCCTCCTCTCTGTTGTATTTCATCCCCTCCTCCCTGTTGGGTCTAGTCCCCTCCCCTCCCTTTGGGTCTCCTATCCCTTTTGGGTCTTGTCCCCTCCCCCTTGTTGGGTCTTGTTCCCTTTCCCCTCTTAGGTTTCATTCCCAACCCCCTGTTGGGTCTCATCCTTTCCTCCTCAGTTGGGTTCATTGCCTCCCCTCTGTTGGGTCTCATCCCCTTCCCTTTTCCTCCCTTCCTCTCAGAATCCCCAGTCCTGCTTACCGTATCCCTCTTACACCCAACAGCACTGCTGACCAATGAGACCCTGAGCTGGCACAGCGACACTGGCCTGGCAGGCGTGTACCTGGCGCCGGGCCTGAGCTACGACGCGCTCAAGCGGGAGCTGGTGGTGGCCGAGGGCGGCATCTATTATGTCTTCCTGCTCCTGGAGCTGCAGCGTGTGGTAGCCGGCGAGGGCTCTGGCTGGGTCTCCATGGCCCTGCACCTGCAGCCAGACCGGGCAGCCCTGACCCTGACCGTGGCCCTGCCGACAGCATCCTCAGCTGGAGGCTCCCGGGGGCGCCTGCTGCGCCTGGACGTCGGGCAGCGCCTGGCGGTCCACATGCGCGCCTCGGCCACAGCGCACGCCACCTGGCAGCTGGCCCCCCGAGCCACGGTCCTGGGCCTCTTCCGCGTGGCCCCCGAAGTCCCCGCCGGACTGGGACAGCCTTCTCCACCGCCCGCATGACGCCTGGGTGCCACCCACATGCCCCGAGACTGAATCCTGCCTTCCTTGGGTCAGGCCCCTGGTTCGGGCCGTCTGCTCTACCTCACGGGGCTGGGCAGGAGTCCCTGCTGCTGAGTTCTCTTCGAAGAAGACGCCCAGGGAATTACGACTCTGGTCTCTCTGCCCACTGCTGCCCCCAAGTTGAACTCTATTTATTCTGGGCCCGGTCTCAGACGGTGCACTTTATATTAATCCATTCAATTTCTATTTATTGAGCACGTGCTGTGTGCCGGGTATGGTGTGTGTGCTGGAGATACATCAGCAACCAAACAAACCTATTTATGTTATTATGGAAAAAATAAAGATACAGCCCAAGCCCTCCATGTAATCCATGGAGCTAGCTTTTGGGATAACACGTTAGCGTGTGCCCTGTTGGCCTCATTCATTCATCCAACTAGTAATTATTGAGCATCTCTGACTGGGCCATTGAAGACAATGTGAGATTGCATGGTACTGGATAATACAATATTAATTAACTTAATGACTACTGTTTATTGAACATTTACTATATGTCAGACAGTGTTCCATGTGCTTTATCTGAGTTATTTGAGACTTATAATTATATGAAACTATGAGGTTTTATTTTTCCCATTTTACTACTACCTGTGTTTTTGAGGTTATTTGTTGGTGTTAGTTGCCATTGAATCCATTCCAGTGTCCTGCGTCACTTCCCACCACCCCCATCCTGTTCACTATCTCACTATACAACAGAATGAAAGGTGGCCCAGTCCTACACCATCCCCATGATTGTGGGGTATGTTTGAGTCCATTGCTGTGTATTTTGAGTGCCTGCCAACTAGGGGGCTCATCTTCCAGTACTGTCATCAGACAATATTCTGTTGTGATCTGTAGGATTGTCACTGGCTAATTTTCAGAAGTAGATTGCCAGGCTTTTCTTCCTAGTCTATCATAGTCTGAAAGCGCCTGTGAACCCTATCTACTGTGAGTGGCCCTGGAAATACCGGTGGCATAGTTTCCAGCGTCACAGCAAAACGCAAGCCACCACAGTACACCAGCTGACAGACAGGAGGGGGAGGTTGTGAGGTTATTTACATATATTGTGTCTGTGTGGTGGAAATACTGTAAAATGGCATCCTGTGGTAAATTTCTTCTCAACTCCTTGTTTGCTGATTTCAGGCTGGTAGCTTGAAATTGGCCATCGTGGGAGTATTTACACCACAGGAATCAGCAGACACTACAAACCAGAGCTTGATTACTGTTTGTTGATTGTCTAGATGGAAGGAAGCGGAGAAAATGATGATGTTAATGACGTAGATTAAATTTACAAGTATGTCTTGCCTGTAGCTGTTGCACTGTGAATAGCACAAAACATTGAGGAAGTCACCTGCTGTTTTAAAACTGCTGTCTGATTCAGCAAAGAACTTGCTCATGTCATGGACAAGCGAGTGAAGTGTAGACATCCTTTTTTTTTTTTTAAATTTCATTTGATCTTAATCTTTAGAATAAAGGAAAATATCAACCCAATTCACGTAAGAACTTCACTTGTTCGTCAATCGCAACCGTAGGTTGTCTACTTACCAAGAATTTGGGAAAAATCAAGGACAGCATTCTGTGAACATCAATTTGTTGTTGCTGTTGTATTGATTCTGATAGCTCCATAGGGTTTTCTTGGCAGTAATGGCCTGGTGATCTGCTTCTGAAAGGTCACAGCCTTAAAAATCCTATGGAGCAGTTCTACTCTGTGCACATGGGGTTGTCATGAGTTGGAATCAACTTGACAGCAGCTAACAACAATTTTAATGGAAGTAGATTGCCAGGCCTTTTCTTCCATGGAACCGCTTGGTGGGGTCTAACTCCCAACCCTTAGGTTAACAGTTGAGGCAAACTGTTCGTGCCACTGTTTGGGACCTTGACAATCAATTGACCATTTGGAATGTGCAATGAAGTGTGTTTTAGCTAGTGCTGCTGTAACAGAAATACCACAAGCAGTTGGCTCTAAAGAAGAGAAATTCATTTTCTCACAGTTGGAAGTCTGAACGCAGGGCACTAGCTCTAGGAGAAAGCTCTCTCTCTGTCGACTTAGGGGAAGATCCTTGTCTCTTTCAGCTGCTGTTCTTCCGTTCCTTGGAGATCTTCATGTGGCTTCCATCTTCCTATGTTTGTGCTTGTTGTCTGTGTCTATGCTGCTCTTTACATCACTCAAAAGTGATTAGGTTTAGAATCCACTCTACACTGATAGTACCTCATTAACATAATAAACCCTATTCCCAAGTGAGTTTACAGTATTTTTAGACAAAAACACATGCTTTCTACATGTTTGCCAACTGCTTCCTCCTCCCATGAGGTATTTTCATAAGCATGCTATGCTAATTTTTTACAACATGTAAAAAAAAATTGCCATAGTGGTCCTTATGAAAATACCACAAGTGGGGAGGGAGTGGTCGGCAAACAAACGTAGAAATTGCACGTTATTTATGTAAAAATACAGTACATCTCCAGGTACCAACAACAACAAAAAAAACACAAACCCGTTGCTGTCAAGTCAATTCTGACTCATAGCAACCCTATAGGACAGAGTAGAACTGCCTGATAGGGTTTCCAAGGAGTGGCTGGTGGATTTGAACTGCAGACCTTTTGGTTAGCAGCCGAGTTCATAACCCCTGTGCCATCAGGTCTCCTCCACAGGTACAAGGGGTTAGGATTCCAACACATCTTTTTTTGAGGATGCAATTCAATCCAAAACAAAGAGTATTTCATATTTTATTATTATTTGTAAATCATGTACTACATATCATTTATACCAGTAAAATTATCACACACACATACATTGTTGTTAATGGCCATCCAGTCAGTTCCCACTCATGGTGACCCCATGTGTGCAGAGTGGATCTGTGCTCCATAGGGTTTTCAAGGCTGTGATATTTCAGAAGCAGATTGCCAGGCCTTTCTTCTGAGGTGCCTCTGGGTGGATTTGAACTACCATCCTTTCGGCTAGTAGTCGAGTGCATCATCCCAGGACTCACACGCATGCACACATATATAGATTTGTTTTCTCTGGAGAGCTGGCTGTTAAAATATTCACCAGAACACCACTGTCCCCTCTCCAGATCTGACCAGTTCACCCAACGTTCAGACCGTATGCCCCCTGGCCCAAGTAAACCAGCTGGACTTTGGCTCCTTACAGACATAGGATGAAACGGACTAGGGTGGACATAGAAGTTTCCATGGATATGGTGTTCTTGATGGGATCTAGGAGGAGGGACGGGAGGGAGTGAGGCTGAGATGGGAGAGTTTGGGCTGCACTGGCCAGACAGGATGGTGGGGGGTGGGCAATGGAGATGCATATGTGGGGGTGAGTGTTACTTGCCTGACATCTCTACCCCTTCTCTAAGAGTCTGTCCCCCCAGCCATGGTCTTGGGGAACATCAGGCTCAATTGGTGTAACATAGTTTATAAAGAAAATGTTCTATATTCTACCTTGGTGAGCAGCATCTGGGGTCTTGAAAGCTTGTGAGCAGCCATCTAAGATACTCCACTGATCTCACCCTGTCTGGAGCAGGGGAGAATGAAGAAAACCAAAGACACAAGGAAAAGTTGAGTCCAAAGAGCTAATGGACCACAACTACCACAGCCTTCACGAGACTGAGTCCAGCACAACTGGATGGTGCCTGGCTACCACTGCCAACTGTTCTAACAGGGATCACGATAGAGGGTCCCAGACAGAGCTGGAGAAAAATACAGAACGAAATTCTAACTTACACACAAAGAAAAGACCAGACTTACTGGTCTGACAGAGACTGAAGAAACCCTGAGAGTATAGCCCCCAGACACCCATATAGCTGAGATTCACCGTTTAGGCAAAGATTAGACAGGCTTATAAAACAAAACAAGACTAAAGGGGTACCCCAGCCCAGGGGCAGGGACGGAAGGGCAGGAGGGGACAGGAAAGCTGGTAATGAGGAACCGAAGGTTGAGAAGGAGAGAGTGTTGCCATGTCGTGGGGTTGACAACCAATTCACAAAACAATATGTGTATTAATTGTTTAATGAGAAGCTAGTTTGTTCTGTAAACCTTCATCTAAAGTACAATAAAAATAAATAAACTAACAAAAACAAGAGTCTGTCCCCCAAGTCCTTCCTGAGTGGCCAGAACTGTCATTGAGCTGACAGGAATGAGTATGGCCATACTGGTCATTAGATTATTGAAATAACTTCGTAAAAACCAAACAAGTTGCCTTTGATTGAGTCGACTCCGACTCATGGTGACCCCATGTGTGTCCAAGTAGAACTGTGCTGCATAGGTTGTTTTTGTTTTTGTTTTTTTAAATAATATTGTGTTTTTGGTGAAGGTTTACACAGCAGTTTAGGATCCCATTCAACAATTTCTACACAAGTGTTTCAGTGACATTGGTTATGTTCTTCGTAACGGGTGAACATTTTCATTATTTCCATTCTGGCTGTTTCATTTCCATTAATCTAGTTTCCCTGCTCCCTTACATTCTCATCTTTGTTTTAAAGTAATTGTTGACCGTTTGGCTCCATGATTTCAAAATAAATGAAACAAAAATTGACCAAACTACCCAGCAATAGACAACTACACCACCATTGTTGTTGTTAGTTGCCATGGAGCTGGTTCCAACTCATTGTTGTACGACAGAACGAAACGGTTGCCTGGTCCTGGGCTATCTTCACGATCATTGGCACGTCTGAGTCCATTGTTGTGGCCACTGCGTATTTTGAGTGCCTTCCAACTTAGGGGGCTCATTTTCCAGCACATATGCGACAATATTCTGTTGTGATCCAGAAGGTTTTCATTGGCTTATTTTCAGAAGTAGATTACCAGGCCTTTCCTCCTAGTCTGTCTTAGTCTGGAAGCTCCACTGAAGCCTGTCCACCATGGGTGACCCTGCTGGTATTTGAAATACTAGTGGCATAGCTTCCGGCATCACAGCAACACGCAGCCACCACAGTACGACAAACTGAAGGACAAGTGGTGAGCACTATCATAGTAGGAGATTTTTAAAGCACCACTGTTAGCAATTGATAGCTCATGTAGATAAAAAGTTAGGGAGGATTTAAACAGTTTAGATTTAAACCTGACCTCATGGCATGCACCAAGCCACTGCAAAACACACATTAAAAGAATGCCTGGGGAGTATTTTCAAAGTTTGACTTCATACTGGGTAATAAGTCACATCTCAACAAAAGGATTGATATCTTACAGACTTTCTAAGTTACTCATGGAAGATCAAAGAAGGGATACTTAATGCAATTGAGAAAATATTTAGAATCTGAATTTAAATGAAGCAGGGACTTTCTGACTCTCTTCAAATAAGGAAAGGAAACTCTCGGTGTTTATCATCTAGCTCATTGATTCTCAATTGGGGTGATTTTATTCCCTCTGGGGACACTTAGCAACGTGTTGAGACACTTTTGGAGTCCCTGGGCAGTGCAAACAGCTAAGCACTCAGCTGCTAAGCAAAAGGTTGGTGGTTCGAGTCCACCCAGAGGCACCTCAGAATAATCAGCTGTCCAAAACCCTATGGAGCACAGCTCTACTCTGACATACATGGGGTCACCATGAGTTGGAATCAACTTGACAGCAATTGATTGAGTTTTTGCTTTGGAGAAAGTTTTGGTTGTCACAACTGGGGAGGGGGTGCTACTGGCATCTAGTGGGTGGAGGCCAGGGATGCTGCTCAACTTTGTACAATGCACAGAACACCCCCCAAAATACAGAATGATCTATCGGTCCCCAAA